TTTCATCGCACCCTTCGTGAGGTGAGGAAGTGATGCTGTCTCTGCTGTCCAGAAAGGAACATAAGCACTCACAGCAGAGAAAAAGGACACACTTTCACACTGAGAGTCTGATTTGACAGACATGGCATCTGGTTTCATCCTGTACAATTTTATATTGCACTTAGTATAGTTAACACAGTCCCTACTCACTAGTTTTTCTAAAAATATTAGTAAATAAACAGTATGTTCAGCGCTTTCTTATGCAACCCTATGTGCTAACTGTTAATGAAAGAGGGCTTTGACTAGGTCCTAAAAAAATTATGATTATAAAATTCTACCTATAGTTTCTCTAATATCCTGAGCTTATAAAGCACTTAGTAAGACAAATTAAGAACAGAAGAGAACTTTTTCATATAAAATGCTCTGTATGTGGGTTCACAGCGAGTGGTCTGCTATCAGTATTGTCTAGCCTATGTTTGCTGAAAGCTGTATCTGATGTTAATGGTACGGCAGGAGCTAATTAGGCAAGAGTCAAGTATGTACTAGGGTAATCCTGCCTTTTTCCCACTTTTCAACTTAAAACTCATGGCCATTCCCTGCTAATTACACTGTATGGATTACTTAGGTGCCAACATAAGCTGCGTGCAAAAGATAACACTAAACTGGGAGATGAGTGAAAAGGATCTGACCTTCTTAGTCAAGGTCGCTGATAGTGTAATTATTCTGAAAGGCAAGGCGTAATGATCTCGTGTGCTAGCGAGGCACCCCGGCTATTCAGTTCAGCAAAAAAACACAGTGTTTTTCCAGTATGCAATCCGTGCCTATGGTTGTAACATACACATTACGGTTAAAGCTGCACGCGCTTGCTCTGCCTGAGCATGGGGCACTGCTCTCGAAGATGTGGCAGGAGGAAGAAAGAAAAGGATTAGAAAGGGTTGTTGCACACACAGCTCCCAAGGGAAGCAAGACTAGTGGGATGCAGCTCTCAATTTCCAGCAGCTTTTCTGTTTCTTGCCTAGTGAGCAAGTACCCAGTGAGAGCTGGGAGCTCTCGCTGATGGGTGMTCTGAGGGGCAGAGCAGAGCAGCCTCTGCTCCTGCTGCCAAGGAGACCCTGCACACACATGGGCAAGAGGCCAGTTTCCCTTGCTCCTGGAAAAAAAAAAAATCAATGCACTAGAAATAATAATTTTGTTCACAGAGCCAATAGTAGTAGTGTAGATGCATTTCTTTTAGCTAAGAAAATTAATCTTTTTTTTTTTTTCCTGGAGAAAGGAAATATTTTCTATCAGACCTGCTTAGAAAGCCAGACTATGTACAGCAAATAAAATAGATGGATACATGCTCCCAAAACTTGCTTGTTTTAGACAATTGTATCAACTGATTAAATGTATTCTTCAAACTCCACTTCCAATCTYGGTAAAATAGTAGTAAAAACCATCTCTGTGGAGCTGTGAGGTTTTGGAATTTTTTATTGCCATTATTTTACCTACTTGCTTATGTTTCATCACTGGAAGGATGTCAGAAAGAAGACAAGTGTGATTAATTATCAATTAGCATAYCCCATTTCAAAATGAATCGATCGCTATATTTGGCAATATGTACTATTGACTGAGATGATCACATAATCTTTCCTAAACTAATTTGATTTTGCACCTTCAGGAATTTTGAGTAGAGGTCAAAAACTGATATCAACTCTGCTCCACGGGGTGCTTACCTTGCCTTTTCAACAGCTTTTGCTTTCCAGTTTTCTAAATTCAGTATTTTTAATTAAATCTCCTGCTCTTTGGCACATCTCCATGCTACAGTCAAGGATGTGCCGGGACATATCAGTAGGATATGCCTGTAGGACTCAGAGCGCTCCACGAGCAGAGGGACCAGCTGGGAGCGGGCAGTACAGGGAGCAGTTTCTGCGGGAGTTAGAGGCGCTCTAGCCTCTGCGGGTACATAGATTTTTGAGACTGAGTTTCACTAAAATGTAAAACCCCACAGACTTCCTCTTTCCTTTGGTACTAATGAAGACTGTGTAACAGCTGGCGTGTCACACTCAGCACTTTTTTTTTCTGACTCAGTACAAATTATTAGCAGTGTTAGGTGCTGTATTCCCGTTACAGAAACAATGTCTAATTCGCTGTGTGTGTAAGAAAGCCAATCTGATCTCAATTTACACTCGTGGTGGTCTGCTTTTTGGAAATGTATTGTTTATTTTCTCCAGTATTGCTCAGAATTTCTGGGAGCCAGTCAGGTAAGATATAAAAGGATTAGGATATTAAAAAAAAAAAAAAAAAAAAAAGACAAAACTAGGCACCTCAAAAAGTGGAAAATGCCTAAATAGTTAAGGAAAAAAGGACCAAGCTTTGTAGTTTCCTTGTGAGAAGACTGAATACATCTGTGGAAATGATCCTGCATGTCCCGGAGAAGGTGCCCTGGGAGCAGGATTCAAGGATTCAGCTGCTTGGGATGAAGCTAAAGTCCATATGTCCTAGCACCCACTGAAAAATCCTGGCAAAATCACATGGCAGCCCCACAGGGGTTTTCAATGCATTCACCCACCAGCTCTACCACAAACTGTGGCCAAAATAAAATGACTAAACAAAATCACCTGCTCTGTACGACTGGCCCATGTTTGTAAAAGCCGATGAAATGAGCCCATGTGGGTTTATTGTGGGGCCTACAGTACAGAGGGAACAGCCCTCACTTTCTCCACAAACAGTGGGTTGAAAGACAGCTCTGTCCTCATATAATCCCTGAATTTAAAAAAGCCTTAATCTGTATTCACAAAGAAATTACTTATGCATGCACAGTAGACAAGACAAAATGTGAAGTTTCACTAACTTCAGCCCGGCTGTCCTTTTGTCTTGTTTTTGATTCCTTAGACTCTCCAGATAAATTTCAACATAGCCAGGAAAAACAACAGTGTAGCTCATATGGGTTCCTATAAAACCAAGGCAGGGATTTTCAGCATGTAGAAAACACACTGAGCATGTGACTAAGGCAATAACAAAATATTGCAAGGTTTACAAGGACCCATATTTAATAGATGCCCAATCACTGCAGATTGTTCTGTGTGACAGGCAGGAAATTGTGTATCCGCCCCACAGGCCTCCTTTCACAATTGAAAAAAAGCAGCTGGGGAAAGAGCTGGGCAGCTAGTGGGAATGCAGGCGGCGGCAGAGTGAAAGGCCTCGGAGAGAGCAGGCTCTCCAAGGGTGCTTGGAAGCACTGGCCGGAGCTGGAGGCCGCGTGTGGCTGTGGGGAGAAAAAGGGAGCAAAGAARGAATCCCTTTTATTGGGGTGAAATCAAAGGAAGTTGATTCCAATGAACAAAACCAGTGAATCATGTTCCAGAGGTTTTACTGAAAAGCACATGTAGTTAGTGCTCCCTTTTATGCCACACTGATAATGGAGTTTATGTTTCTTTGATGGGAACCATCCATCCTCTTTTGCATCTCAGAAGGAAAAGCAGTTTCCCATTGCAGATGTCAAAATTGTGTACTAGACTGTGACTTGTTCTGAGCCATACTTGAATATTTTGCCTTGAGGCAGGAGGCAGGAACGGGTGGTCCCGTGCAGTGCAGGAGCCCCCCTCACACTGGGTTGTGCAGCTCCCTGTGCACCTCGGTCTTTTCCCAGCTGGGGTTAATCAGTGTAACTCCAGGGATGTTTGCAGTGCTGTGCTCAGCCTTCACACCTGATCAGACTGCCTTTCTTGTGGCAAACAAGAGTAAATCCCCTGGTTTTGATTTACAAGAACTGTTTTATTTCTTTGTACATAAATGCAGGATGTCTTTGTAAGAAACACAGTACAAATTTGCACACATTCAGCCTAAAAATTAWCATGCTTTAGTGCATGGTTTTACCTTCTGTTTATTTTTTGCACAGTGTCACCACTAAAGTTATTTCAGAACCCCTGGAGTTGCTTGTGGTGCTTTCTTACACCCCCAGGAGTGCAAATGGTAACCCAGGGAATATGCAAGTGGATGGACAGACCTTTCTGACAGAGTATGAAAGAGAACATCATTGCTCCTTATGTCAACACAGCTCCTTAGGGACATTCTTCTTCAATTACTCCACACTGATATTTTTGCTCTTTGTAAACCACTGACACTTGAACCCCTTTRTTTGCCACTCCACAGCTCACAGACAATGCTGGGGCGATATTTGTCGTATTTCTAGAGCTGGCTCACAGTAACACCAATGCCAAAAAAAAGAGAGAGAGAAAAAAAAAGCCTGATGGCACTGCAATATGCCAAGCTTTGGGAAAATATTCACCATTTAATTTTCTCTTTGCTTCAGTCCCAAAAGACAAGGTGGCACACATGTTTCTTCCTCTGTGATGTACCTGTTTTAATCCTTGGCTGCAGTCTATCAGCTATTCCTTTTAATTCTGGGATATTTGTTCTCTGCTTCTCACATAAGATATTCTTTCATCTAAATCCATGCAGGTATACTGTCATCTTCTCCTTTTCAGGTCAAGGGAGGCACTAACTTCGTTGTACACAATAGAGGTCTCCGAGTTGCTGTGTAAGCTGTTATGAAAATTAATGTATTCAAGTCTGTGCAAACCTCCGTCTTACTTAATCCTCACTTCTGGATTGGCAAATCTTCTTTTCCTTGGTGATTCAACCTCTCCTTTGGAATATGTATCTTTAATTACATTTTGCTACACATAATCCAAGCCATCCTGTGTCAAATATGTGACAAGAGATAGAGAACTGCTTCATTGCTAGGGTGGCGTTTAGACTGCAAGCAGGCTGTCAGGAATAAAATAAAAAGCTGGGCAGGGTTTCTTGTATTTTAGAAAATCAGAGTCTGTATGTAAAAAACAAGAGCAAAAATTGTATTATCATTTTAAATTTAACTAAMATGACTTTAATGCAAAGTTACGTAAACAGAAAAAAAAACAAGGCAGCAAAGACACTTCAAAACTATAGTAAACACTACTTTAAAAACATATTCACTTTGTCTTTGGATTTCTACACATTCTTTTCTCTATTTTTGCTTTGCAGAGACTAAGCTTTCTGTGAAAGAGAAAGTCCTGCCCAGCGTGCTTCACAATGAGGCCCACAGCAGCTGGGATCTTTCAGTGCAACATCAAAAATCAGGTAAAAAAAATATTCTTTAATAGGAAAACCACATCCCATAGGCTGTATGGCAGCCATCATCTACCAGGACTGATCTGAGCATATGAGAAAACAAATGGCTTGTGAGTGCTGCAGCAGTAATCAAAGGAATTGCTTGGCTTGGAGAGGGAATCAAAAGCAATGACGTATATGAAGCGATGGCCTGCTGCCCATGCAGGCAGGATGTGTTGGTTGAAGCACTTGTGTCTGCTAAGATGATGAAGGACTATTACCCAAATGAGAGAAATTTCTGAAATATCACTTGGGAAGAAGCAGCATCTGGATTTGCCTTGTCAATTGGCTCAGGCTTTGTTCTCCTCTGAGCAAGTTTGATTTTTTAAGAGTGTAACTTGCTCTTACATTGATATASCTACTGATTACTGTACATAATCATTTAAAAAATATTCCCTTTTGAGGTGTTGCAAGTTGGGCAGACAGAAAAAAATCAAGATATTTCTAATAACTGATAATTTCAAAAAYGTTAGCCAAATGCTTTTAGAGGCAAAACCATGTGACAAGTACATTAGCAGTGCCAGGCGTTTTCAGATCTGCCTTGGGTCCTACATGCCATTAAAATGTTTGATGGGGAGTCTCTTAAATATGGTCCTCCTGTTATACTGTCTGTTGCTGTATTTATGCCCTAGATAATTAAGTAAGAGATTTCATTTTTTTTCCTGTCTTTACCAAATTAAACTCTGTTCACATTAATCTGCTCCATATGCTCATTAACTGAGTTATATTTCATATGCAGGAGAATAAGATGGGATTTATTGTAGACATCCCACAATTCCAGATGTGGCTCCATGGTCATGGGTTGAAAAAGTGAATTCCCCTGTCTACGCCCACTTCACTTCTGTGTCAGATATTGCTTCTTAGGAGCCAAGTAATATGCCAGTGCAGTCTGACAAGGAACACAGGAGAATGCACACCATAAATGCCAAATGGAAAAGAATCGCTTTTTCTTCTTTTTCATCTGATAAAAAAATGTAATTTCTGATGTAAGTTTATTTTTAGCTGAGAAGAAGCAAATATTATGCAAATGAACAATAGGTATGGATGGAGGGATTGCAAATTTCATATATCCAAATAAATTTTCTTAATTAGGGAAGTCTCTTTATGTCTTTTTTTGAGGGGGAATTATTTTGCTCGGCATGAATGCTATGTTCTTTCTGCCATAGAGTAATGAAAACAAAGCAGCTGTGTATCATGTTTCCCCATCAAACTAAGAAAAAGCCAAACAAACTTTTTTTTTTTTTTTTTTTTTTTTGTAATCAGCCAGTTCTGATATGAGTGGTGTTTTTTCGGCTTTTAGCCTAGGAGATGTCAAGAGTGCTACAGTGATTAAACATTATCATGTCACATCTGTTTAGAGGCAATATGTAAACTCTTAAAAAAATAGCTAGGCTTTGATAGCTTATTACCCATTTACACTGGCAACATGCGGGGCCTTATGTACAGCTAAGACCCCAGCTGAAGATGGTAAAAAAGAGAGATGTTAATGCTAGGTGTGAGAGAAAATCCTGCGTTTGCAAAGACAGACACCTCTCATCAAGTGCAGTGTCCCAGCTGGCATGCATGTGGCTTTATTAAAGAGCATACAGGGGAGAAAAAAAATCAGTGAGAGAATTAGGCAAGCAAGGATCCTGTCATAAGCATCGTGCAGCTACATCATGTTTTATGGTAGTATCCAGAAAAATTGTGAAACCAAGACATGCTTCTGGGAAGAGGCAGGAGAGCTTGGAAACACAGTGTCATCCTCTTGCATGTGGATAGTTTCTCCAAAAGTGAATTCCTTTTTGAATTTTTATTTTTAATGAGATTGCTGCTATAAACTACTCTCCATGTGATAAAGATGCATTGATAACACTATACAAAACAAAATTATTTTCTGCTCCTGATGGACATAAAACGCCAAAGGAGCTAAAAGTGTATTCCCCATGACAACTAATTAATGAGCTGTCTGCATTTTCTGATTTCTTCTAATCATGATGTTCTGTGATTGATGAATATAGATATTACATGAGCAGCAGCCTCGTAGTATTTTCAAGCCTTGGGAAGGGGGCTTTTATTTATGCTGTGCATCTCTCCTCCTCAGCATTCCTGCATTTGAAGGAGTGAGCAGTCAAGTGTTGCACTGAAACTTGGAAACTCCACTGCTGATGAGCATGAAGTGTCCCTATTTCCAGATGCCGTCAAGGAAGCACTTAAAAGAGAAAGTCTTACACTGGGGAGGAGCTTATCAGGTTTGTTTTCTCTTCTTTCAGGTGTAGAGCTTTAACTAGACAATGTTGCGTGACCAGGATCCATGTATCTATAAATCGGACAAATTCGTCTCATTTTGCTGATGCCTTTCTGGGAAGGGGCTCATGGAATCAGTTTACCTGGGAAAAATCTATGCTGCCTCAGTGAATCTTTAATATACCCAGTCTTGCAGATTTAGCATTAATCTCATCCTCCAAGGTAAATTTTTTATGTCTTATTTGTCAAAGGTACTTAAAGGTCTCTGYGAGTATAAGCAGTGATCTGACATGTTCATGAAAGTGGATTCTTGCATCCGAAAAGCCCCAGTGTGCATGGAGGGGTGGTGTGGAGTAGAGCCCGTGGCTACGAGCCAAGCATCTCGTTTATTTGCAGAGCACTCTGCATAATGTTTGGGACCCTTGAGGCTTTGCCATAGAAAAGTAATGATAAAGGAAAAATTTGCAGAAATAAAGTGCTTGGGAATGGGTAAGTTCTTCCTTTTCACATGAATGAAGAAAAACACGGCTYGTCTGCCTTGCTTTTTAAGCAGTTGATTGACTGAGAGCAACTCTAGATAAAAATGGTGCTCACAAATCTTGTAGTGGTACTTACATATACATCTATATGCACACACACACACATGCACACACAGAGAAGAGCCTGCAGTGGATCCAGCTAATAAAGTTATCTGCTTGTTGTTTTGCTTCTTCTTTCATTTAGGTACCAGATTTTGTTTTGTTTGATTCTTTTGTGATTTGTTCTGCTCTAGCCATGAGTTCTGGAGCTTGGGAAGTTTTAACACGATTGGGACTCTTGGGAAATAAGCAGCAGAATTGTTTATGCCATTTCTGTGGAGACTACCTCTGTGTTTTTACTATAATCCTAGTGTTCTGATCACATAGAGAATATGCGAAAAATGCAAAAGATGTTAAGCCATAGAATTTCTTTCCTCATGTGAGCACAGACTGGCAGGCCTGGCAGCACCTTGGCTGTAAATCTTTGAGCTGTGGGAGATCAGGGGAGGATAAAGCAGGKTTCTTTAGAGTGATGTAGGCTAGGCTTCTTTTCAGCTTTCAGGATGATCACTCAGGTTAATAGGCAAGAATTAGCAGTAACCAAGGGAGCAATCTGCAGGGAGGCTTTGGCAGCTGCAGTCCTGCATGTAGCGCATTATGCAACACCTGTCATCAGCATTCAGTAAAAACATACTGGGGGACCAAGACTCAAGTGTTTCCTGAAAAGGGCACATGAAAGAAGACAGCACTAGAAAAAAACCTCCCGAGATGGCCTATCTTGTACCTGCAGGTCAGCACAGGGTACTGCTCCAGGCAAAGAGCCCGCCTGCTTTCCACCTGTGGCTCGGTGAAGCAGCAAAGTGAGCAAGGCCTTTCTGCCGCATGGAAATTAATGGCCAGGAGGCAGGTTTCCCTGAATAAGATGCAGATATCTCAGAAAAATCACACAATATGTCCCCAAATATGAAGTACAAAAACAGTGACAGAAGACGAAAGTACTACGGAATTCCTTCTGTCCTTAATAGCCAAAGAAAGCTTCTTCTGTAACTGCATCTTTACAAGTTTTCAATTCTAATGCAAGCCCATTTTCAGTGCTAAAAATGAAAAAAGCTCACGTATGGCAAATAGTAAAATCGGCCCACTCTTGCAGCTGGTATGCTCTGGGTCTTTCCAAATGAAGAGAGGCTGAAGGATGAGATTTGTGCAGAGGAACCTGTCCAAGAACCAGCTCATGTCCATGCCTAAAAGCTGCCCAGAGCAAGCAAGAACCACCCTATCCCAGAGAGCTGACTAAAACTYCCTCTGTGCAATTGCTTCACAGAGATCTGAAACAAAAGGAAACGCCACACCAGGAATGGAGGCGGAAGAAAAAAACACAGTAGACAATAACCAGTCATGAGAAATTTATAGGAGACGGTGGAGAGAGAGAAAAAGATGCATAATGTGTTAGTAGCAGCTAACAAAGCTAAGCATAATCAAAGCCTGTTTAATGGAACGGGCATAAAAGAATCACCAGGGAAAAGCAGGTCCACTGATAAATGAGGAGGATAATCAAATTAACAAGAACTTTATAATGGCAGGGTTAATGAACTGTTATTTTGGATTAGTTGCCCAGAAGAGGGGAAAAAAAAAGGGTGAAGAGGTATAAGCAATTACACATTAATGAAGACCTAGGTAACAGGGTAAGAATAGTTGACTGAAATAATGGAACAATGTTAGTTAAGTGACAGTAACCTGTGCTGAAACCTACATCTTATTCGCCCTTCAAATTCAAAGTGTTCTGGAAAGTTAGGAAAAATTGCTGCAATGGCAACCTGATGGAAGGGCTGACAGAAATAACACTGCTACCAGGCCTGGGGCAATTCTCTTTTCTTCTGATTTTTGGATCAAGAATTGAACAGGCAGAAAGGTTGTGGGGCTGCTCCGGCCGGCAAGGTAGGGACRGTGTCTGGACCCTGTCCAAAAAATAAAATACTTAAGTAGGTGATAGATTTTTAAATAGCCATGTTGCTGTTCTAACTGTCATAGGACTCAATTTGCTTATAATTAAGGACATACTTTGCTGGATTAGGGCCATTTTGCTTCATAGTATTCGGACTGACCCCATCCAAAACTGCTATTTTCCCTTTAAAGATGTGCAGTCCCTTTTTTTTTTTTTCCCTCTGAAATAGGAAGCAATTAGCTTGTACAAGATAAAAGGTAGTTAAAAGAAAGTGAAAGGTAAGTGGTCATTTCAGTAAAACAAGGCAGAAGCACCACCGTTCTTGGCACATATTATACCCAAATACTGAAATTGCCTTTTTTTTTTCTTTCTTTCCTGTAGACAGATTTATAGTTACATTAAAATAATACATAGAGGCAGGTTTTACTAATTTTTTACACAAAAGAATTTCTTTATTCAAATTATAAATGCACTAAAGAGACCAAAGTGGGACTACAACACACCACAAGCTTTCTAGCTCAGTAATTACTTTGTACRTGGAACTGACAATCGGAAGAGCAATCACTAATTAGGAAGGGGACCTTTGCTTGACTAGGAAGACATTTCTAGTCCAATTCATGTACCACCCCATTTAATAAGGATTATCATATTATTAGCCTTTTGTGGTTCCAGYTAACCATCGTTTTTCCTAAGCATGTCAACACTTGAATTTAAAAGATTATTATACATTCGTTAGAAAATTATTTCTGTATTTTTGGTTTTTAAATACACTTTATATGAAAAGGCAGACAGACATTCTCTTGTTGTCAGGAAGCCATTCAAATCATCCTCAGTCCTTCTAATGCAATTGTGCATTTACCAAGTAGAAACCCACACCTGGGCTCCTTGTGTTCCAAGCATAGTAAGGCTGCTGCAACTGGAAAGCATTTTGCCTTTTTTTCTTTTTTTCTTTTTTTTTTTGATTTTCCCAAAACATAGATCTTTCAATAATAGAGCTGTTTGCTTTTTCTGGTGCCCAATATGGAAAAGTTTCCTCAGGAAGCTGTGCTGCCGTGCTGTGCTTTTGATGGGTATTATGGTGCTTCCAGCACTGGTGGTAGTTTGCTTCCTTCTGCTGCCATCGCGATCATGAGGGAGCTCGAAACAAACTCTTTTCTCCAACACATCTCCTCTAGAGATTGTCTGGTTGCATTTACTCCTCATATTTACCTGGAACACCTTGGATGCAAGTGTGTGAGAAGAYTCTGGCACCACTGTTGCACTCAAGGTGTGATCAGCATGAACCACCCCCCGTGTTTTCAGTGGTGAACATCATGTGTTTTACACAGGAAAATAGGACTCAGTTCAGCAAGCMCTTTTTCCTCTTTTTCCTTTCTTCTTGGAGGTCGCTCATCCAGTGAAATATAACAGCAATTGTTTCGTTATTCAGCTGCTTTAAATGAACTTGGTGGTAATGAGGCACTATGCCTTCCACTGGTTTTGGACGAATATTTTAGTCCACACTTACTGTACTGAGAAAGAAATCACACCCAAGAGTCCTGCTCTGGAGACAGTCAGGCAGTAAAGCAGGAATATTCAAGCAGTTGCACCAGAAGCCAGTAYGGTTTTGCAGGTTTTTTTCAAGAATATCTCATCCTGCCAAGTCTCATGTTAGGTGAACATCAGCTTCAGAAGCATTATGAGATGGCCGGCAACTGGTTAAGTGGATAAATTATCCAGTTATGTATTTAAGCCTTGCTAAAACTAATCTACTGGTTTCATTTTCTATTTGTATGTTAAGAATGTCATACAACACAAAGTAGTTTCTTATCAATCTAAAAGAATTGAGTTCATTTATGTCCCTAGCATTTCAAACAAATGATTTGTCTTCAAAGGGAGTTGATGAACTAGAAATTAGACCTTCCTGCACAACATGAATTTCTCAGTTTCCTGATAAAATGATTGTATTGTTTCTCCGTATGAAATACTAATTAATTTTAACTGACCTGCTTGCTTTATTTTTTTCTCAGAAACACTGTCAAAGAGGCTCAGAAATTGCTTCTCTTACTGCAATGGAAAAAAGATCTTTCAGTGACACATGCCATCATTCTCATCTGATCTAAAAGCACATTGTCACTAGACACTCTTAAAACAACATTTTAAAGAGTAAGACTTATGCATCAGTCTCTTTTCAGTACCATTTGTAACCCACTGGCCTATATTTCTAAGGTTACTTTGATATAGATACCTCCCTATAACCTATTTAAATGTGATATAATTTATTTCCACTTTATTATTCCCCCTTCTCCCCCCAAGACCTTTTTCATTTCCCTTGTAAACTTTGCTTGATGGCAGTGATGGCTGTTAAATATATTAACATACATAATGAGCATGGAGTACAGGAAAGACAGGTAGTAGACCAGTATGAGGCAGATACATTTCATGCATTCATAAAGCAGGTATTCATTAAAACCATGATGACTTTCTCTCCAGGATACAGGACATACAATGAAGGGTTTTGTTTGTTTTTTAACACGGGAAGGAGATTCAGAAGATGAAAGTGGAAGTTTTAACTGTTCTAAGTGCTTCTCGTTTAAGTGCATTTCCAATATTTGATTCCTAAATCAAGATTTTCCTAAAAGGACACCTCTACTTGGATTC